AAGACAAATATACAGCGAGCTGGAGCGAGGTAGAGTGAGAGAGAGAGAGTGAGATAGAAGAGCTGGAGAAAGGCGGGCAAATAAATCTCTTTTGTGTGGACCTGAATTTAATTTCCACATGCTCATGAATAATTTTCAAATTTTCAAATTCAGTAAAACGTGAAGCGTATTTCCGGAAGTCCTTCTCGCCCCAAAAAAACCTCTCCCCCCTGCTACGCGGGCGACAGCGACAAGCCCGACAGGGAATGCGACAGCGACAGGGACAGAGACAGGGACAGGGGCAGAGACATCGCACTCATCTGACGCTTAGTCCTTTTAGTCCTCTTTGGGCATAAAAAGTTATGTCAGCAGAAGATATATGGCCATATTAGAAGACTCCCCAGCCTAAAGCCTGACTCCCACAACCAAATCACCTGCAAGGGACATGAGTGCAGAGATTTCTTCAAAGTCCTTTCAGTGAGTTATTTGCTTGAGATTTTACAACAAAAAAACCAAAGGAAATCTGAATAAAAATCAACTGAAATTGTACCTTTAAATGTGAAGTCTTTGGCGCTCTTTTTTTGTGCCCACTTTTTTTTTAAATGTTTATTTTGTGGTGTAAAACTGCAATCCATAAATTACATCCACTTATTATTTCTTTAATGGCTCTCTGGAATGGCCCCGTCGCGGCGGGCGTTCGGTTCATTTAAAATTATTTAAAATGCTCGCCATTAAATGGGGAATATTTCATGCTGCACTTCAATTAATGCGAATGTTGCCAGTGACAAAACAAACGATAATTATATCATGGGGGAAAGTTTTAATGGCCCATCGGTACAGTCAGATCTATAAATATGTGGACGGTGGAATTTCTTTGCATATAGTAGTAAAGCGGAGGCAAAAAATGAATGCTATTGTTATTATTGGGAAACATAGTTTCAATGAGTTAGTTACTAAAAAAAACTCTGCTCTGATTTACATAGTAAATTATTTCAATTGGCTGCTTTACAAAGTTTACAAAATGTATTTAATTGTTTGTTTGATTTAAATAGTTTAATAAATAACAAAGTGTATTAATTTAATTTAAAATTTTACTTTTGCAACGCACTGTATCGTATTGGATATTTTTCAAGCACCCTCTATAAATTTGGTTAATGGGACTGCACTTTCTTAAAATACAGTTGATCGGATTAACCTCAATGAAACTTGAAATTCCATCAATGGTGCAAGAACGGCACAGAAATTGGATTCAGTTATAAATTTGGCAATAAAAGATTAAGCTTTTAATGCACAATTAATGCTAAAATAAATTTCATGATGTGCGCTTTAGAGAACTTTCGTTAATGGTTATTCCAATGGATCTTTCTACCATGTATCACAGCAAAAGACGACTGAAGAACGCGTAATTAATATCCAACAATTGGAGTCTACACAGAAAAGCCGTGCAAACATCTCCAGACAATCATTATCATCTCTATCGCATCTCAATATCTATAGGCCTCCCCTTTCCGCCCTTGCCGGCCTTGAACAACCAACTAGAGGCTATAGTTGGATTGTGTGGATTGTGTTCCACTTTGCTTTGACAAGTGGGAATAAAATAATACTCTCGGCAAAATGAGGCAAAATATTTATGAACTGCTGACGTCGACACTCAGCATGGAATGAGAGGGAGACTGAGCCGTGGGGACAGAGACTGAGTTGAGGCCGAGTTAAGCTCACTTCAGTGCATTTATTTTGCGAATTTCATTTATCAGCGACGAACTCTTCAGACGTCAGAGCTGGCGAAGGGCAGGACCGTCACTTGGATGGGACTGAATGGACTGTCACTGTCGCAGTCCCACCCCCACCCCCACCTCCACCTCCACCCCATCCACACTCCACTAAGGAATCAAGGACCACAGAGAAGCTTATCGTAGCAAATCCTATTGTCGTCATATTGACATAACCGCAGAACCATCAGAATCGCCACCCCAAAACATAATCCTCCTTTGCTGCCTCCTCCGCCCCACAAGCTCTCCTTCCTTCGTTCTTCCCTGTCTGATGCTTTGCTTAGGACTTTTCCAGCGAAAAATAACTCTGGCTCTGTGTCCTTTGTGCCTTTCACTGCGGTCGCTTGGTCACACTGAATTGGTCCGAGTGGAGAGCGAGCTAGAAATCTCACTGCCAGTTGTTGCTATTTGTGTGCGTCTTGCACTGCAGCGAGGGTACCATAAATGTTCACCAGATGTTCGTAAAGAAGAGAAGGAATTTTTCTTGATCAGCAGGATGTCCATCATTGTGTGTTTCTGTTTGCATAGCTGTATGAAACTTTTCATAGATCTTTCTCGTTATAATAGAATTGTATGGCATGGCTATCAAAGTTTATTGGGTGAATCTCTGATCAGAATCAGATGACTTCTAACTGATATAGGATCGATTCGATGGGTATCAAAATCCTCCAACACGGCAGCTATCCTTTCCTCTGTTGCTGTCCCATTTATTGCTGCTTCTGTCTGTTGTGTGTGTATCCTTTCGCTTTGGCTCAAGCAGCGTAAGTACTTGGTGGAACTTATCTTTTGGAGCGACTTGCTTGTAAAATGACAAAATGAATGGTGCGGTCAGCAGCTCTTCATCTTTGTCCTGCTCCATTGAATTCCTGCACATTTTGTCACATTTCATTTCTTTCCACCGCATTTCTAAACAAATTGAGAGGCAATGAAGGGGTGGTCCTAGTCCCATGGGACTTAAGGGTACACTTTGAGGATACAAATGCTGTGATAAATGAATAAATGAATGGGTGAATATTAACTGATACACAAGCAATTGACTATTGACTATTTGAATGTGAAATTAGTCTATCAATAAATATTTTTATTTCTTTAAAAATTTTGTTGGCAGATCCCTTGACAAAGAAACATAAATCAGCAAAAATCTTGGAGGGCGAATACATTTTTATGGGTGTGTATTTAAATATTTAATTAATTGATAGAAAAGTGAAAAAAAAACGTTATCTTTGCTACGCGTAAAAAATAAAAGTCATTAGGGTAACCAACTGGCATAAAGGACAGGAAGTCAGACATTTTTTAAGGTGAAACGGATGAATAATATTAATGTGTAACGCCGGATATATTCCCCCTCGAATTAACTTTGGTTTTGCCTTTATTTTTTGAGCCCCATTGAGGATTGCACAAACTGACCCCCGCGGGGGCCATTGCACACTGTACTTATTTGCGGCAGGCCGCACACACTTTTTATTCGTGGTCGAAATGCAAAATGTGCGCCGTCATGTTGCCAAGCTGCGACAGCGACGACTGTACCTCCCCCCACAGCACAGCGCACACAGAGCACACAGACCAGCCACATCCTGGACCCACCATCCCATTCCAACCATTGCGCACTTAAACTCACCTCAGTGTGGAGCGAGTCCGTCCAGAGTGGTGGGTGGGTGGAGCCAGGGAGGAGGCTGGCGCCTGGCCATGTCGTAATTAGCAGGGTACAGCGTTGCCGGCGATAATTAATGACGTTGGTCACGTTGGTTTCATGTCGATTTCATTTCATGACACGGCCGCAGGCAGCTCTCCCTCTCCCTCACCCTCACCCACACCCCAAACCACTCGACTCCACTCCAGGTCTCCTGTGCGGTGATTTGTCAAGCGTTCTCATTGAAAAAATACAGAAAGAAATAAAGAAAAACTGCCTCGACCTCGCCTGCATGTAAATCTACATTAAATTGAATTCCGCCTGCGAGAGAGAAAGCAACTTTATTTTTTTTTTTCTTATACTTTTTTTTTTTTTTTTTTGCTTCTGCTCCATTTCGTTGGGGGCCTTGATTAAGCATCTGACCATTTTGAAATTCAATGCAATTTGAACTTTCAATTCAGCTCGATTCGATTCGATTCGTTTCATTTGGATTCGATTCGATTCGATTGGTTTCGGGTTGTGCATAATTGAATAATTTATGGCCCCAGGGCCAAAGTTGTCTTTGATCAAGTTTTCCAAACGACTCTCTTCTACTGTTTCTCCTACTCTATCTTGTACTCGTTTTTGCATGGCTTAAACTTTACATTTTCAATTGGATTATGCAGTTTACATATACCCTTTTTGTGGGGGAGGGGTATCCACATTTTTCTCACAAGACCTGCAACGAAATAGAGTTGATTGGTCGCACAAAAGAGATCTTTGACTGCGTCTAGTACTTAAAAATATCCAAGGGAAACTATAAGAGCGGAAAGCTAATTAATTAATATTTTGTAGATTTATATACATTTTTTAGTTTGTTTTTGGAATCAACTTTCTATCATCTGTTAATGGCAGGACAAATGGCAGTAAAATCTGTCAAGCTTCTATGAAAAGTTGAAAGCCCCGAGAGCCTCACACCCTCTTTCTAGTTTATTAAAACACTCCCAGACTCATTTTATTAATTGTTGCTTAAAAGGGAATAAATTCTGTGTGGATATTTACATATCACTTGATTTGGCAAATTTTCTGGCAAGCTTTTGAGTGGACTTGGCACTGGCACTGGCGAGTTGATTAGAGTTGAAAATACCAACGCAGCTTGTTAACTAATTGAGTGGCCATTTGCACCCACCACCCACACATTCTGCCAGCCAGCCAGCCAGCCAGCCTGCTCATCCTCCTCTCAGGCTATAAAATTAATTAAATTCATTTTGTTTGATAAGCGCCGCTCATGGAACTGCAACTGAAACACGAACCAATGGCCGGCCAAGCGGCTCATATCGGATACGGCCAGAAGCGAATGGAATGCTTTTCAATAATGCAAAATGTTTGATTTACTTGTATTTGCCTTTGCCAGAAATGCTCACAAATATTTGCATATAATACAATGTGCAACATGCACGCTCCGCTCTTCCACATACATTAAACAGTAAATACTTAATACTCTTAGCCGTAATGCATTCGACATGCAAAATGAGTTTATTGGCTTGTCCGAATTTCCCAGAATTAGTATCTGTCAAAAGCAGAATTCTCCATAATTTCATAGCCGGTGCTAGTGGGCCATGAGAATATACAATCAGACTGTCAGAATTGCTCAATAATTTCCCATAGCCGAGTAACGTTAGTAAAACACTTTTGCAACGAATCACAAATTGTAGTATAAGTTACAAAATCGGCATAATCTGAAGCGGAATAACACCAAAAAAACAAATAGAACAGAACAGTAAAAAAAAGCATTTGAATATCGTGTGTGAGCCCTGCACTAGGAAGAGTACAAAAGAAGATCGAAAATGTTGGCACATTTGTTGCGTGGCTGCCAGCGTGTGGGCTGGCGCCCAATGGCACAGCGCTATTACTGCTTAGATCTGGTCTACAAGGTGAGTGTTTCAGCCAACTATTTTCTCATTCCATCACATCCTCCCCCTGCTCAGGATGACTACGTTGAGAAGTTGCGGCATAGCTACTACGCGGAGGAGCGCAGCAATATTTTGTTGCCCACATACAAGAAGGCCATGCTCTATCCGGACGATCTGGCCATTAGGGATAACGTGGGGGAGTACACCTACTTCCAGCTGTATATGGCAGCCAAGCGACTGTCCATACAGATATCCAATATATGCGGTAGCTATAGTACACACTCCCAGCTATACAGCGGAACTCTCACACCTCAAATCTTTCTGCTTTCAGGCAGCGGCGCTTCGGCGCCCGTGGGATTTTTCTGTGCCAACAATGCAATGTGGATTGTGATGCTGTGGAGCTGCTGGATGTCCGGCCAGGTGGCAGTGCCACTTCGTACACGCCCATGTCTGAAACTGTTGCGTCTGCAGGCGATCGATTGTCAGGCAAATCTATTGATTGGCACACCCGAAAACGCCAGCATTATCGAGGAACTAGCGAAGGATCTGAAAGCAGCTACCATTATGCTGAACCATGACTTTGTGCCGCCCATGAAGGAGATCTCCTCGACAACGACGTACGCCCAGCAGCTGGTAATCACCGAAGATTCGGGCGTACTGATGCCTGAGGCCATGCTGCCCAATGACTTCTACGAGAACAGCATGGCCATGATGCTGTACACGTCCAGCGAGACGCAAGCCCCCAAGCCGGTGATGCTCACCCATCGCAATGTCGATGCCCAGATCCGTTGCCTGATCGACACCTGGCGCCTGGGGCCCAACGACACGCTGCTGCCCGTTCTGCCGATGCTGCACATGCACATTGCCATTGGGGCAGTGCTGCATGTGGGCGGCAATGTGGTGCTCCAGGGTGGCTTCAACACCAGCAGCATCTGGAACTCACTGCTGGGCGTCAATCTGTCGACCAAGAAGCGCTGCACCTGCTTCCTGGCCATGCCCATCGTGTACAAGCAAATGATTGCCGAATACGAAAAGATGTTCCTCAAGGACACGCGCATGGTGGAGTACATCAAGAAGCACTGCAGCGAGAAAATGCGCATAATGGCCACCGGCTTTGCCATGCTGCCCGATTCGGTATTCGAGAGCTGGCGCGATATTACCGGCCATCACATCCTCGAGTACTACGGCATGCTGGAGACGGGCTTCGTTCTGGGCCATGCCATCGAGGAGGCTCCCAAGGAGCTGCCCAAAGTGGCTAACCCAAAACGTGTGCCCAAACCACCGCCCAAATCGTTTCCACCCAACTACAAGACGGGCACGCTGGGCAACCCACTCCAGGGGGTCACTGCCCGCCTGATGAGCGCCACGGGCAAGGAGATTTTCAAGTGCCAAAACCATGTCGGTGGTGCCATCAAAACGGGGCCCCTGAGCGATGCCTCCGAAATTCCAGTCCCGAATTTTGATCCCAACAAAGCCGTGGCCATTGGACTGCTCGAGATTGCCTGCAAGCATCTGCCGCTTGTGCCGCTCCCAGCCGGAAAGCAGTGTGCGGAAGTGGCGGAGAGCTTCGTACCCACCGGCGACATCTGCGCCTTTTACAATGACAACTTCTACTTCATTAGCAAGGCGTGCGATGTGATAACCGTCGGCGGTCTCAAGCTCAACGGCTCCGAGGTGAAGAAGGTGCTGCTCTCGCATCCGAAAATCAACGATGTGGCCGTGCTGGCCATCCCGAATACGGTGTGGGGCAATCGGCTCTGTGTCATTTGCATTGTCTCGCCCAATGTGGACATTGAGTTGGAGTCCATCGAGACCTATTGCCGGGAGCACTTGCCATCCTACAAGTGTCCTCAGGTCGTAAAGGTGGTCATTGCCAAGTAGTGGGCTCGGACATTTCGGACTCCTTCGGGAGCCAAGCCATTTCCCAATAAGGAAATGTCAGGCATTGCCACGACATGCAATGATCTCTTGTTGAACTTTTAATTTGATTTTGAGATTGTGCTAAAGTCAAAGCATTAAAAATTTCTATTAAATCACATTACTACTGACTTTATTGCTGGCAGCCAGCTCATACAAAAAATCGCTCCAACGACATTCTTTCACCTTGCATTCCATTCCTTTCAGGGAAATTCTAGCTCGTTAGAAAGCGGAGAACTCTGCAGCTGTCTGCCTCCTATCGGACTTTCTCTCTTTTTTGCATCTCCGGTTCGTGGAGAGGATTTTTTGCATAGCCGCCGTGTCATTGGAATGCACAGCATGGCGCTATGGCGATGCGATGCCAGCAAATAACGGGAAATAACAATGGGGTCCATGTAAATAGGGAAAGAATTCATCAGCGCTTAGCGCTTTCATAGAAAAAAGTTTTGCTATGCTGCTCCAGCTTTATTGACATAGTTTGATTGAATTGAATTCGATTTTTGTTTTGTTTTATATTTTCCAATATTAAATCGAAGGTCCAACATATTTTGCACTTAATGTATAGCATGTTAATTAATTTTTTACACTTGTTTGTCTCACATACAACAAATTTTTAATCATTGTTTTTTCACTTTACCGTTTTTCAGCGCATTTAATTCGTTGACAACAACAACTGATACAGCTGGTTGAAGGGGACCAAATACTTAATGAAATAGATCTGACCCGATGTCAACCAGCTACATACAGCGTTGTACATAATCATATGTATATACACAGCACAAAATTGAATTAAATGGAATATTGTTGCGGACAGTTGTTTGCATTTCATTAAGCACGTTTTGTTCCAGCTGCCGGGACAGCATCAGCATCAATTGGGGATCCACAATATTCAGATGGCAAGGCAATCGCATAAATCAATTGCCACTAATTACACGCCATTGTTGTAGGCGGGGAACTATTTTTTTATTTATGCAAAACAATATTAATTGAATAAAATATGCCAATGCAGTAAATCACACTAACAATGCAGTGGCTGTCATCTTTGACAATTATTTTTTGTTACCAGACCACAAAATTGTATGAGAATTGATGCATAGTGGAATACCCTGTCTGTGAATACTCGTACCTGTTATATTTGAAAGCCATTTGGTGTCTGTTCCTGTATAAAGAAACTTTGTTGATTGTTTCATTGCTTCTGTGTGGGTTACAAAAAATAAAATATTAAAATATGAAAATATCTTTATTAATATTGAAGAGTACCCTACAATTATTCAATTGCTTTGCCAGGTATTTCCTAGTCTAAAATCGTACAGACATTTACACCGAATTTTGTTTGATTTTAACGGATTTGCCGCATTTTAATTTTCCAGCTTTAAAGGTTCCTTTTTTTTTCCTGACCACGCTATCCGTATGCCGCTCCTCCCACTAGCTATCTCTGGCTCGCTCTACACCATTTACTCCATTCGTTTACATGTCTTCTCTACCCTCTGTCCACTAGTCTCATTGTTCACGCTTTCTCCCACACACTATCTCGTTCTCTCTCTCTCTCTCTATCCGTGCCTTTCATTCTGCTGTTGTTGTTCTGCTTGCGCCACATTAGCTTCATTTGTTCTATTGTTTTGATTATGATTTACAATGCCCAATGCGTTGCTTTTGTTGCTCGCTTGCTTGCGGTTCTTTTTGCACGCATGTGTGTGTGTGTGTGTGTGTGTGGGTGTGCATTTGTGTTGAACAAAGCATAATACATACAGCATTTGCATACAGCGAAAAGAGGCAAAGAGAGTGAGGGGGAGTGAGATGACTGTATACCACACAATAAATTTCATTTAAGCTGTGTGCCAAAATGGTCTTTTGTGCATGAGTGTTTATGATACCCTCAGCAGCGGGTATAATAATTTTCATCAGATGTTTGCAACACAGCGTAGGAAGTATTTCAGTCTCTTATTTTTAGTTCAAGTCTCGGATCCGATTCCCATCCTATCCATATCCCGTAGCTGTTTGCCTCTTAAGGGTATCTACAAGTTCGTCATGCTCCAGTCCTTAAGTACTTTGTTGTTTGCTGTTTTCTCCTAATTCCCACACACACTTACAAAACTGTTATTAACGCTTATTAGGCCTTTTCGTTGAGTGCGGAATACCCCAGAGTAAAGAAACTTTCGTATTTCCCCACCCCCCCACTAATGCCCAGCCCACAACTTTAATTTGTATGCTTTAATTTTCGGTAGAATAACATTAATAACTTGGCAATTTTGCAATCGAGGCACATGGCAACGCCCCTTTCTGTTGCTAGTAGAATTTGCTCCTCTCGAGAATCGTCTCAATTGAATTTTCGCGCTTGGTCGGTTCCTCCTTGCCGGTGCGTGGATCCTTTGTGGAATTAATTTGCTTGCAGACAGCGATATTGTTTGGGTTAGTTGTGGTGGTGTTGGTGGTGTTGGCGGTGGGCACACACTTGCTGGTGCTGGGCTGATCCGCCAATTTGTCGGTGGGGAAGAAGTGCGCCTCCAGCTGGCGCACGCCCTCGGGGGTGCTCAGATCGTAGGCAAACTTCAGATATTTGTCGAAGAAGCTCTTGTTACGGTTGCTCTTTTCGGGACTGGGTGACTTGGACTTGGGTGGCATGGCCTTAAGCTCCTTGGAGCCCTTGGACTTTTTTGGCGAAAGATGCTGAGGCTTGGCCACGGGTATCGCGCTCCTGGGGGTTTTGACTGGAGCGGGCATAAATCTCTGATAGGAGCTGTAGCCAGCAGTAGCCACGTCTGTTGCTGGCAGATTCCAGCGCCCGGGCAACCTGGTACCCTGCATGGCGTCCTGGGGCTTGGTCTTGGCCGGGATCTCCTGGGTCTGCTTGCGGAAGCCCACCTGACGCTGAACAGGGGTACCTGGGGTGGGTACCTTCATGGCAGTCGGTTCGGCGATCTTCGTATTCTTGGGCTTTCCTGGCACCGCTGGCTTGCGGGTCGTGAGGTTCAGCGCCATGTTTCTGGAAAAAATACTTTTGAAAAGAGAATACTACTTCGAAATATTAGAAAATTTTTGTAACAAATTATTCTATAGAAAACTATAACCAATCCAGAACATGAAGGTCAACTGAGATTTTTGGGGACAAACAAAAGGGAAACGGTTAAAAAAAAAACTGATGAGAAAAGCAAAGGAACTTCTTTTGGGAATTATTCAATTAAAATGCTCGAGTTTAGCATTCCATGATTTTTGTATGAACTTTAAAAAATATAATACACAAAAGCATTTTTTCCCAAACGAAAGGTTTATAATCCTCTTAGATATAAAGTCCTTTTCCCCTTATTTTCCGCCACAGACACGACAAAAAGTCAAAGCTTAAAATGTGAGTAATTTAACAAAGGCGAAACGAGAAAGAGAGATAAAAAAAAATAGATACAGAGAGAGTGAGAGAGAGTTATTTTGTTGGATTACTTTTTTTCGGACAGTTGGTAAAATACAAAAAAAAAAGTGCAACAAAAATAGACAGAAAAAAAGGAAAATAACAATTAATTCCGGATAAACACATTTTATAATTAAAAAATTCCTTTCGTTTCTTGACGAACACACAAAAACAAAGACAGCGGTGCTAAAGTGACAGAGCAAAAGAAATTAAGTGAAAACAACAAGAGAGAGAATGGCAGAGCAGAAGGACAGAGTGAAAGGAGCAGGACACGAGGCGACTGAATGACGACAGGCAGGACGCAGCTTAGGAGACTGACACCCAAGACTGGCAGTTTGTAGCGGGGTGGTTGGGGGTACAGTAGAGCACATCAAACTCAAGATATGCTGCAGAGCAAGCGGAATGAAAAGCGAACATGCAACACATGGCGAATGCGCAATGTTGCCTGGAATTTGACGAGAAAACAAAAATTTAATCATCCTTTCAGGGTACTGTGGCACAGAGAGATGGGGTTGCAGCTAAGCTGATTAGGGTTACCAAAGGGAAGGAGACAAGGACCTTCACTAATTTCTTATTTTTCTAGCTTTTCTCATCTTTTTTTTGTTTATATACACTTGTAGAGGATGTTACAGGTTTGCGAGTGCCGTTTGAACTGTACAAAAATTATACCATATTCTCGATAGAGATACAATTCTATATCTAATCTATATGTCTATGTAATCTTGTCTTTTGCCTATTTGTAATTTAAATTTATTAAAGCTTAAGCAGAAAGCTTTATAGATTCTTCTTCATGAAGTCAATTCACTGCCCAGTCATTTTAATGAATAAAATATTTCAAAGAATATAAAAATCGAATAACTTAAGCATATGCATTTTATGATCTCAATGGGAACATGATTCTAGTTTGTGGTGATATCTATTACCAAGATTAAACTGAACTTTATATTTTCATCGGTTATGGGTAACTGACTAGCAAACAGATTTGTATTATTAACTTTATAAATTCTCTTCACAGGTCGTAGTATCACAGAAAGCGTATCTAAACATCAGCTTCATTCATTTATTTTTTTTTTTCTCTCCTTTTTTTTGCATTTCCGTGGACCAAGTAATTTATTGTTTGTTGCGTAATTAACCTGCTTCGTGGTCGCGCTCTTGGCTTTCACACTTTTGTTGCTGCCTTTTTGCCTAATGACGTTATATACATTACATTTTGCATGCCTCAAGGATGAGGCAGCCAGCAGTCACCATTTATCGTATTTTTTTTGCTTTTTTTTTATCCGCTGCCCGAGGCGAAAGAAATTTCATTTCATTTTTGGTGATTCGAGTCTTATCTGGGTGTAAAGTCGTTCACGTAATTAGTTTCATCCAACGGTAGACTCGCGTCCCCCACTTCAGCGAAAGATGGCGACCTGTGCCCGAGTTTTTTTTCCCCCTTTTTTCGCTTACATTTCAGAAAATTGTGCGCAGCTTGGCTAAAAGTTGGTGGACAGGGGAGGCTCGGTAAAGATGTAGCTTGCTGCAGGGGGAAAAAGGTTATAAGCGGTGGGGCTACGGGTGAGTTGGCTGGGCCAAATGTCAGCTTAGACCCTCGCAGGGAATGCGAAATGACAGGCAAATTAAAGCTGAGTGGATGGGTTCGGATTCGGATTGGGGATTGTGTTCGAGTTGGGGCAGCGGAAAATTTATCGGAGCTACATATAACCTGATAAAGGTATTAAAATAGCCATGCTT